AATTTAATGGATTTCAGGGTTATAATGGGAATTTGTTTGGTTTTAATGTAAACTATAATGGTGTCTATTTGATGGATTCTATTGGTGGGATGTAATCTGGCAGATGGCAACCAATAGAACAACAGTAATTCCTATTGGAATAATGCCCAAAACAAAAAGGAATTTTGTAATGGTTTAATGGAAACTATAAGAATTTATGTGATAGTTTCTATTGTTTTTTTTTCAGCAGGGTAATGATACCCATACTGTGCTGCACATTATTGACAATATTGAGCTGAAGCTTGACTTTGCAAATTTAAAATCGCAAATCAAATCGCAATCGCAATATCTGTCAAAAAAATCGCAATTTGATATTTTCCCCCAAATCACACAGCCCTACTACCCATAGTTACGTTCAATCTTTTTGTATTTGATCTTTTTTAAGACAGTTTGGTCACATTTTAGTTTGGGGACCAACTCTCTCTATTAACTATTAACTACAACTTTTGCTTATTAATAGCTAGTTAGGTAGTTGTTAAAGGGATAGTTCACCCAAAAATGAAAATTTGATGTTTATCTGCTTACCCCCAGGGCATCTATGGTTAGTGTAGCAAAACATGTTGTTTTTACCATGGTTTAACTATAGTAACCAATAACCATGTTTTTTGGTATTTTATGTACATATTTTCATGTTATCTTTTTATTTTACGGCATGTATTTGTGAAAATGATTAGGCAGTCACAGCACACACCACATAGAATAACACTGCGCAACACTGCAACTTTGATGTTTATCTGCTTACCCCTAGGGCATCCAAGATGTGGGTGACTTTGTTTCTTCAGTAGAACACAAACGAAGATTTTTTTTACTCAAACCGTTGCAGTCTATCAGTCTTATAATGTAAGTGGATGGGAATCACGGCTTTGAGAGTCATAAAACATACACAAACAAAACCAAATTAACCCCTGTGGCTCGTGACGATACATTGATGTGTAAATACACGAAACGATCAGTCTGTGCAAGAAACTGAACAGTATTTATATAGTTTTTTTACCGCTGATTTTCACCGCAACGTCCGAACTGTCCAGAGCTCATCCTGAGCGTGTTCAACAGCCGGCGCCTGACGCGTCTTCTTCTTCTTCTTGCTTTACGGCGAATCGCAGACTTATAAGTGCATTACTGCCACCTATCTCTCAAATGGACCATTGACACTCCTAATTG